TATATATATATTTGTGTGTATGACATGAGACATTTGTGGTTTCGGGGCTGAACATTAAAGAAGTTTTTAGAAATATAATTTTATAAATGGTCATTATAAAGCATTATTACTGCCTACGTTCATATTTGACATGTATCTCAACATATGGGTAGCAGTGTCTTACAGTGTGCATTTATTTATAAAGATTGGATGATAGAAACATTTACACTTCATGCAATATCGTTTAAAGCATGGCTCTTGACAGCATCAAACTCTTTGGTGCCTTATAATGTGCATGCAGCACTGACACACATGAAGTCCCAGAGGAATTGTTGTTTCACGGGCTTCCCCTCCCTTCTTCTCCTGCTGTAGGTATCCCTGTCTAAGCCTGTACTGAGCAGATTGTTCTGAGAGGAAACGGATAACAAACAGGGGAAGTGAACATGGCTGGGACCTCTGGCTTCTTTTCCAATGGACCTGTGCCGTGGATGGACAACGCCACAGAGATGAACAACCTGTACCGAGACCTGGAGCTGGGAACAGTACTGACACTATTTTATTCTAAGAAGTCCCAGCGGCCAGAGAGAAGGACATTTCAAGTAAAGCTAGAGACCAGGACTATTATCTGGACTCGGGGCACGGATAAAATAGAGGGCGAGAGTGAGTATTCTGTCAGTGCAAACATGCTCATACAAATATCAGCGCTCCTGATGACTGGTAAATTTGTAAGGTATATGTGCCAGAACTGGTTGGTTGGCATACAGTCAGAAATATGATGGGTGCAGCGTTTTTGTTTTTTTTAAGATGCTTGAATGCCTCACAAAAGACTTGCACGATGGGCCGACATGATGGTATTGTGAACAGTTGGATAGTGTTGTCAGTTAGGATGTGATGTCACATCTAAAAGCCCCAAATAATTGAATTCATACAGCAAAGACGCAGTGAAATCTCACAATTCCACTGATCAATAAGAGACTGGTGGTGGAGTGATATTGTAGATGTGGGATTTTTTTTTTTTTTAATACATTACAGCTAAAAGTGCTTTAAGCGTCAAGTAACTAGTCGCTATTGGTGTAAGATATTTTAGTTGATGTCTACATTGGAACCCAAGGCAACTGATTAACCTTTAAAGATGCCAAAACCTTTGTGTTGTGAAAAATGTAAGTTGTACTGCCAGGATTAAAAATTAAAGGTACTGAGCAAATACATGAGTAGTTTAAGAGGTTGGTTGGTTTTACAAGGTTTTTACACTAAAGACAGTTTGGAGAAACTGGGATCAGTACGGTAGAAGTAAAACTGAACCGGCTGCTTTTTAAGCGCATAAATCAATCTGATAGCTAAAGTTGTATGATACCGTAGAAAGAAAACATGCAACCCCGCCTGTGTGTCGTAATATCAGTGTTTAAAGTGCTTCTTACTGAACCACAGGTTGCTTAAATGTTCAGTTGTTTGGGATTATTTTCTTGCAATATAATATATTTATTTCTCTTGGAAAAAGCAGGTATGAATATCAGAGGAAGAAGAAATTAAATCACGTGTCGGGTACAAATAGTTGTAGGGTCGACGCAGAGAAGAAACGCTGTTTCCTTGCGCTCTTTTGTTCCTTTTTAATAGGAATATTCTGTATAGTACCAGGAAGCTGGCATTCAGGTTAATCTTCAACAAAGCAGCGTGTCTAACTGAGGACGCACAGGCCTTTAGTGAGTCGTAATGTCATCTGTCTCTTGGGTAGCAGGATGCCTTGTGCACAGCTGCACTCTGCTCCGGATGCAACAAAAAGAGCACACACACACATACACAAAGGAGGGTAGGCTTAGTGGTGTTCTTTTCTTTTTTTGTTTTGATGTTTTTTTGTTTTTTTTTTTGGTAAAATCAGTATCATCTTCTTAGTGAAGGGTTTCATACGCCCATGAGCTCATAGCTGCCATTTGATACTCCTGGAGAGGTGAAATTGGCCTGAGCTGCTCATTAATGTTCAGAAATAGAATACCAGGGTTTTTACTGGAAGTGTGTAATCGTTCAGGAACGATTTGGCCCCGTGTATTTACCCCTTATCAATGGCAATGAAAGAATGATGTCCATTAACTGTGGAAACGTCAGTCTCGTATGCTTCTAAATATAAAGTGCTGAGAAGTGGACCCATTTGTTCCATCCTCTCTTAAAGTGTATTTTGTGCATTTTTTTTCACCACTCCACGTGATTTGCCTTTCAGTTTTTGCCCCGCGTTTCCAATCAGATAATTGGCTGCACTCATTTGTGGCTCGCACACTTGTATATTACTCTACAGCACACTATGATGTATGTGCGGCTTGACATAGCAGGATGTGGTCTTGCAGAATAATTGTCAGTAGACAGACGTGCCTTCTGAGCGTGTCATAAATATGCAGCTTGGATACCTGGGCTTCACAGTCTGTCTTTTTAAGTGAAAAAGTTTGCTCCAGTTCTGTTAGTCACTACATGAGTGTACAGTTTGTTTTCAAAGAGACTGCTGCAACACGTCCTGCACAGCACCCTCAGTAAAACTCAGCAGTATCATGCGAATCATTTTCTAACCCCCTCGTTTAGTGTGTGACAGATACCAGGTGACATGTACATGAATCGAAATCATGTTTGAGTCATTAGGCACCATCAACTCATTTTAATATCAGAGAGCTACGGAGATGGAAAGTGAGTTCGCTGGCAAGCTTTGATGAACTCTGAGCCGCTTCTAGAGTTTTATGAATGAATACTTTTATACTCTCAACCATTTATTTGAGTTTTGTGTCCTGGTTTGAAAAAACCCCAAAACAACTTAGTTCTTGTAACCTCATAGTCATACCCTGTTATGTTTACAAGCTCTGGTTGAAGAAACTGAAATACAATTGGCAAAAAAAGGCATAAAAGCACATTATTTAACAAAAATGAAGCCAAAATGCAGAAGCAGTGTGTGAAAGACTAATGCTGCCAATCAGATGCACTTATTTGGAATAGAAGAGAGTACGTCTTTATTGTCATTGTACATGTACATCGAAACTGTGAAGGAAATATAAATAGACAATAGGACAACAGTAATAAATAACAAAGCAAGATGAAGTCACTCATTAAAAGGGCAAATTGCAAAGGACTTGGTCCGTATATATAGTCTGTATGTAAGTAGCCTGAAAGATGAGGTGCTACGTAGACAATGGCTCACATTAGTGGGGTGGTGGGCAGGTGTATGTATGGAAGACATGGTGGTGGTGGCCTTAGCTGTTTGTGAGTCTGAAATTGATCATCAGTGAGTGTGAGCATCTCTGCAAAAGCAGATGTTTCAGGAATTTACTGCTCTGGGGAATTCAGGTGTGTTAACACAGTGGCAAAGAGAAAAGACATCAGGGAAGTATATGAGGCCATTTCCAAAACAATTAAAGTCCATCAGTCTTTAAGTGTGGATCTCCTAACAAATTCATTGCAGACCTTGCAATCCTCAGAAAACTGCAAAAAACCTAAAAGCAACATCTCGGACTGTACAGGCCTCAGTTAGCATTTTAAGTGTTAAAGTTTGTGACAGTAAAAAAAGAACAAGATGGAACAAGTATGGCTTGTTTGGAAGCCTCTTCTTAATAAAAAGAACATGACAGCACCGCCCGCTTAGGCAAAAATGCATGTGAGCAAATCACAAGACTTCCGAGGCAATGTTATTTGAACAGGTAAGACCAAACTGGAGATGTTTGGTAATAATGCAAAGCACCACCACTAGTGAAAACTAAACACAGCATGTCAGCACAAACACCCCATACCAGTTGTCAAGCATGGTGGTGGAGAGGTGATGGGTTGGGTTTGTTTTGCAGCCACAGGAGGTGGGCACCTTGCAGTCATTGAGTCAACCATGAACCATAAGTATTCTAGAGTGAAGCCATCTGTCTACAGCTAAAGCTAGGCTGAAACTGGGTCATGCAACAAAGCAGCAAATCTACAACAGAATAGTGGACAAGGCAAAGTCCAGACATCAGCCTGAGTGATATGCTGTGGTGGGACCTTAAGAGAGCTGTGCATAAATGAATGCCTGCAACGCTGTAAAGAAGCGTGGGACGAAATACCTCCACAACAATATGAGAAACTCATGAAGGCATACAGAAAATAATTACTCCAAGCTATTGCTGCTATAGGCGGCTCTATATGCATTTGAATCATGTGATGTAGTTAATTTTTCACACACAGTTTCTTACTGAATTGTGGTTTATTTATTTTGTTATTCATCTTAAGTTCTATTTACCTAATTGTAAGACCTGGTAAAGACTAAATAGTAATTTATTATTTTGGCAGGTTATATTCAATAACATACTGTAGAAATGTTTCTGTCATCCAGTTTATCTCTGGTTGAAGAAAACCACTGTGGGTAAATTTGTTGCATCTTGATAAGCCTGGTGTAGTGTTCATTAGAAGTTCTACATCCTTTCCACTTTTGCTCAGTTGAATGTTGAGAAAATCTTCTCTAAATCTGTAAGTGTATAGTTGGACATTAAGTTTTTATGTATATTATGGACAATAATGAACAGTTTATTGCAAACATTACAGAAAAGCCCCCCAGATTTTTGGTTTAGAATATGTAAATGTGTGTGTGTCTCTATATATATCTATCTCACATCACAGCTCAGACACTGATAAAATTAAATATAAACATTACATATTTTATTAAACACTTCTCACATGTAGTGTGAACCACGCAAGGATAAATGGTCAGCAGTAAGCATGAAATTCAACTCGTGGGCAAAGTCTTGTAGAAATGCAAGCTGCAGTGTAATATTAATTCCAGGACAAATGCATATAAACTTGCTAAGTAATGACTGACGCATCGTAAGTTTGAATATGAGACTTTTTTTCCCTTTATAAACACTACATAATGATGCCGTGCTGCAACTGCTCCTAGGTTTGGGACAAAATCGATGCTGCAGTATACCACATCCGCTTCCTCCTATGGTGTTATCAATACACTAGCAACAGAATAAATTTTTTTTATTTAACCCTGTGAGGCCTCAGTCAGTACTCTGACCCCTAAGCCTATATTATCAGAGTATGTGATTTTATTTTTTATTGTTTCATTTTTTTTTTAACCTTTAAAAACTGACAAGCGTCAGTCCTTTAGTTTTTCTCCAAAGCTTACAGCAACGCTAAAATGGCTATGTGAATTAAACTTCTTGCGCATCCTGCCAATCTAAATGGATTCCTTAGCTAGAGCCACAATTTCTTGACTCTTCATGTTGACATTGAGCAAATAAAAGAGGTTAAAATGAATGTTGTTAACCGGCTTGCGTTGAGGAAGAAGCAGCTCGGAAAGCGACAATGGCAGACTGCAAGAGAATCGGAGAGCTAACTGAGTGAATTTACAGACTATTTAAAAGTTGAAAAATTGTGATAATACTCACTGACAATACAGTGCACTGAATACATGGATAACTCGAGTTTTTTGGTCTTTTAGGGATATTTTTCACAGATATTTATTTTGCACTCTACTGGATATCACTGAACTGTTGCATTGTAATGACACGAGTTACTTTCTACATCTACTGTTGCATTGATCTGCTCAGTCACAGAGGGGCAGTTCACATAAATGCAGAAACGGTCAAATTCATGGCATTTGAATAAGAGCTGTAATTCTAGATGAGCACAAGAAAAGAAGCCACATCTATTTTGATAGTAATTTATGTCTTTTAACAAAAATTCCTCAAATATGTTTATAGATTTTTCTACTGTAAACATTGTTGTTTGCTTAATATGACTGCTAACTCAATATCTTTGGGCTGTGGACTCTGATCGTGACAAAATTAGATATTGAAATTTGGACTCTGGGGAAACTAGGATGGGTGTTTTCCACTGCTGCCCTGAGATTTTATACTGTCATCGGGGCAATAATTGGCAGATTCATCTACAATGAAAGGATTCATTGACAACCTTTCAATTTGAATGGTGCAGGAATGTGAGGCGTGTTCAGGTGTAGACAGGATTTAGAACTGTGTTGTCGTCGTTGTTGTTATGATACGTCGGTGAGCAGTTTTGACAATAATTCAAACCACATACTGTTTTAACACGCACCACGACATTGGACGAGTTCCTTTTCAGCAGCAGTACCAATAAATGTTCTCACCTGTAGCCTGGAAATCCTTTTTTGAGAATGAAGAAGTCTTTGGGTTGTTTATGTTAAGTTACATAACCAGCGGGTGGAATTAACTTGCACACACGTGTGAAAACTGTCGTCCTTCTGATGTGCTTTTTCCATACCTCCCGCAAAGGACGTGCATACACTGTAACACCTCAGACGTGATGTCATTTCTAACTGACCCACCTTTTTTTGTGTGTGTTTGTGTTACTCGTTTGGATCTGGCCGTAGTTTATATGTAAGAACATTTTCAACAAAATACTGAGACATTAGCCCTCAGGCAGCAACGCTGTTACTTAATCAGAAACTGCTTTCAGATTGATTGTCTGTATGAAAACGTTGTAAAGAGCAGGCTGTTGCTGGAAAACAAGCAGAACTCAACAGCAGACTCGTTCCATTTAGAGATTGTTGGAAAGGGGAACTGAACCCTTTTAGCGGCTTGTCAGATGTTTGTCAGAGGAAAAGTCTTCTGCTGAAGTTGATCCCATATGCTGTCAGTGAAGCTTACATGGATCAGCTGATGTGGAAGTGTGCAGTGAAACATTGTCACAACATAGGCCGCATAGTCACTTGGAAATGTTCTGGGGTTTTTTCTTGCTTTAGAATGGATGGTGCATATAAACACGATTGATCTGCTTAATAGTTAAAAAGATGAATCTGGGGCTTACCTCACAGATTTATTTCTGGCTATTTAAGGTTAAAAATATAAAATATGCAGTCCAGGTAATTTGTGGATGTGCCCCATATGCAAGAAAGATCCTACAGTGTCAAGTTCATATTGCATACCCATATGTTTTTATTTATTCTATAGTCATCTTTATATTTTCTCACTTAGAATATTTAGCATAATAATTGCTCAATGGTCCTTTGCTGACATTGTGAACATGATTATCAGTCAAAACTCTTAAGTCTGCGTGGCCGAGTGTGACGTTTTAAGTTGCCATGAAATTCTAAGCGAATGCTGTGAACGTATTGACTTTTGACACCACCGTGGTTCAGTTGTAAACACTGCAAGAAGGTGTGCAATTTGAACCCATGCAGAGTTGAAAAATATGGGCTATCTGGGAAAAGGACACTGTCACAAAAGTGATTCTTAATCTCAAGATTTTGAGTCGCTGGTTGAATGCAGTTCAGTAATAATCATGCTTATGTCTTTACCCATCCAATCCAATATTTTAGGCTTTATAGCAACACTAAAGCTGGCAGTTACTTTTGATTTGTTTTATTTGTAATATTCTTTCTTTTAATTTTCTTATTAAATGTATGTGAAATGTCAGAAAGTTGGGCCTTCTTCCTATATTTTATTTTTGGTTCACAGTATTTTCAGTTGTATAAAAATGGAAAAGAAGCACATCCTGACATTGTGTGTGTGAAACAGTAGAAGTTTGACATTTGATGAAAAACAGAAATGTTCTTTTTGATCGTTTGCTTTTTTCACAATATCATAACATTGGCTTATTTAAAGTAAAACAACAACAACAACAAACAAAAAGGAAATTGGGGGAAGGGGATAAACTTTACATTGGCCAAAGTTTAAACATCAGGCTGTCATATTTTTACTGACAATACTTTTGCTTGGGGAAGAAAAATGTTGGAAGACAGGGCACAGCACAGAAGGAAGTGTGGTAGTGTTTTGCAGGATACCTCCTCTCATCTCTTTTGGTAAGGTTACACCTCTGGCTATCTCTTTCTTTCCTGCATCTGTCTGAGGCAAGCTCCAAATATTTTGACACAAATGACTAAAAGTGTTGTCTAACAGATCAGCCTGTCAGAAGTGCTTCAGTCTAAACGGAAGTCTGCTGGCCCGTGTGGCGGGTTAAGTAAACGGAGATATGATATATGATTAGAGCACAGTTTGGTGAAATTCTGTGAGAAGACATTTTTATGCTTGAGAAAAGAACATGCAGAGCTCACCTATACGCAAGCACAGATGTGGTGTGTAGGCGACAAAGGCACAGGATGTGTGGTTCAGGGGCAGGAAGAGGAGCAGGAGCTGAAAGAAGAGTGTGTGTGTGTGTGTGTGTGTGTGTGTGTGTGTGTGTGTGTGTGTGTGTGTGTGTGTGTG